ATCCAGTAGAGCTCCTTGGAGGGGAAGAAAAAAAGTAGAACCAAATTTCCAGCCCCACATAGAATGGACGCTGGTTGGAGGCTCTGGAAAGAAACATAAAGAAGTACTGCAACTGGATCACTGTGCCTATCTAGAATGAATATGAGGTACAGCCATGGGGAAGGAAAGAACAAAAACCAGAGTTCTGTCTGTCTTTCCTCTGTGCAAATGCTTTGCTCTCCTGTCGGCAAGGACCTTGGAAATAATGCAGACTTCACACTCCATAGTGCTAAAATGGAGACACCTTCCTTTCCCTCTTCACCCATTGTAGAGTGCTGATGCTAGGGATTAAGGTAAGCATGTATGTAGTGATTTACCAAGCTGATACATAGCTAATTCCTACCTCTAAGGGTTTGCAAACTGAGGAATGGATTCTGATACCCTCACTCACATTAGGTAGAACATTATCAAACAAGAAGTTCCAAGGAAGTCAATGGTGAGGAAGATGCTATTCAGTGTGAGTAAGCCTGTTAAAATTGTATGGTAAATTGGCTGTAGTATGACAAAACAGAAGAAGAAATGACACAGGGTAAGCTAATAAGATTGCTTGCTTTATATTTTGGGTGACTGCACAAGCAGCTTTTAAAATATTGTTCTCCTACTTTAGAAGGGAAGCATGTGTGTAGGAGTCAGCATTGGAGAGACTGTGGGAACAGGTGAGTTTTGAAGAGGAATATGAAGGAAAGGGGATTACATGCTATGCAGGATTGGAAGGCATTTCAGGCAGAGGGGAAAGTACAACAATTAAATCTTTCCAGAAAACATAGGCTATCTAAAGCAAGATAATCTCTATTCATGGTGAAATCAATAGCACTTTTCCAATATGAATATAAAGAATAATCCTGATCTCTCCCACCCCAAAAAACCCTGCTTCTGACGTCTACAGCTATGTGTGCTGTTGCTTAATGCAAAATGCCTGCTGTGTTTGTCTATACTGTTAGTGAATTGTGAGCATTTAGTTTACAGTGTTGCACACTGAATTACCTGGAATATGAAAGACCTTACATACAAAGCAAATTCTATTCAGCTGTGACTCACCCCTGGAAATTGAGCCTGGCTTTTCCACAGAAAACAGTGTTAATATAAAATCCAGTTTCTCCCCAGGAACTGTCATTTTCATTTTGTTGACAAATATCCTAGCAACACAGAGAGGGAGAGAGAGTTACTAATAACTCTGGGAAGTTGACTATATGCCTTCAGCCATCAACCTGCTGATTCTTTACAATGTCCCACCTCTTTACTGTGTACGGATGGGTCTGACCATTCAAATTCTCCCAGTGATTTGGGTGTTCTCTGAACAGCTAAATGAAACATTTCCTCAGTCATCATTTTGTGGTTATAAAAACACTTGGGCTCAGATAGCTTGGGGTTGTTGGGAGAAAGCCTTAATTTTGAAGAACAGCCCTTCCAGTAGCACAGCACAATGCAGGGTCCTGGTAAATGGAGCATACTCATATCATGAGAAACAAACAATGGAGAGACAGCTCTATAGAGGCAGAAGAAACAAAGAGTAGACCCAGGTGAAACCTACACAATTTTTCTATAAATATTCGTTCAGATTTATCAACAAATGTGCTTTGAAGTGTTGTAGTGGGAGGGATTTTCAAATGCACTAAGTGAGGTAGAATTGCAAGTCCTATTGACTCTCAATGGGACTTGGACTCGTAAGGCAATTGAAAGTCCCATCCAGAAACTTTCTGTATTTACTTTCAATAAATATTATAGCAAATGAACATGAGTAAGAATGTTCACTGAAATAGTGAATTTCTAGAAAATACTGCAGGATATTCATGGGAAATGAATTTTAAATGCATGCTCTGTAACCTCCTTCTCAGAGTTATGTTCACCCAGGCAGAAAATGGAAATATACAATGTGGCTTCTGTGTCTGATCAAAATAGCACCATTTTTTAATATGCTCAATGAGCTGCTCACAGAGGATCTAGATGTGCGCAGTATCTGAAGGAATGTGTCTCTTACAGCCAGCTGGAAATGGGGAGAAACTTGGGTGTTTCTATGTAAATAGTTTGCTCCTGCTATGTTTATGTTTGTTAAATATTCAACTGATGGAGTGGTGTTTTACTCATTGTAATCAGCTTGGCTGGTGTTGAGTCACAAATTGTGTTAATACTAATTGCAACGTCTGTAATTATTGTGGGAATACAAAAAAGAAAGTCTGTGCTTGATTTGTCCTTTTCATATGTGTTCTTTTTTTAATTGTATCCTTTGGTATATATGGTTGTGACTATTTTCTTCCACTATTTGATCTGAGGAAGTGGGTCTGGCCCACGAAAGCTCAGCATCTAATAAACCATCTTGTTAGTCTTTAAAGTGCTACATAGTCCTGTATTTTGTTTCAGCTACCCCAGACTAACACGGCTACATTTCTATCACTGTGCTTAACCTGGCACACAGGTGGGAAACACTCTTAGTTTAAAAAATGAGATTCTGGGGGTGTGCATGTAAATACAGTTTGCTTCTGTTTGCTTAGATTTGCTAGATAGTCAACTGGTGCAGTGATGTTTTGGCCATTGCAATCAATTTGGTTTGGGGGGGAGGGAGTGTCACAAATTACATTAACCTTAAATGCAAGGATTGTGAAATAAGATCACCAGTACTTGCAATTAATTGTGGGGATGCAGAAAGTTAGACTGTTTAACCCAGTTTAGAAAGATAGAGACACTGCCAATGTAAAGAATGTCAGATGGACAAGGGCTCCCCTGCCAGAGCTCTGTGAGGTTAATCGAGGAGGGCAGGACTTTCAATCAGCAGGCTACCTGCACTCCAGGTGTGAGCTATAAGACCTTTCAATCTGTTTCTCCCCACTTTCTCAATGAAAGAGCTAAAGATAGGCTCTATAAGGAGTCTCTTTTATTATTATGAATTTACTCTGGTGTATGCTGACATTTCTTGTGTCTGGACTGTGCTTTGGGCCAAGAGCTGAAATCATTAGGTTTTCCCAAAACCTAATCCACCACAAGCCAGCAGAAGTAGTGAGCGGGTTGGCCAGCAGGACAGCCGATGGGAGAAACATGTGGTTGGTGGGTCAGCTGGCAGAAGCAGCAAAGCAGCGATGAGCAGCAGCAGTGTGATGAGCAGCCAGAAGGGCAGTGGCAGAAAGCAGTGATCAGGCAGATGGTGAGTGATTAGTGGAGTAAGACGCTTCTTTACCTCCCCCCAGTCAGGATGGAAGGTGAACTCTGAACTTGGGGTCTGCCCTGACCAAGGGCAGCAACTGTGTCTGGGGTGCACAAAAGGGTTGGGCATATGAAGGGGACATTTACATTGCTGGACTTAAGAACCTAAGAGGAAAAAGACATTGCCCAACCTTCTTGGGGAGGAACTTTTATTTGTGATTTTATTTATTGATCCTGTTTGTGGTGGTTCCCCAAATTAATGCCAAGTTATTTCCCTCCCTTTTGTTAAAAGTTTCTTTTCTACACTCAGACTCTGTGCTTGCAAGTGGGGAAGCATTGCCTCTCAGAAGCACTCAATCATCAAGCTACATGCCTCCAGGTGTGAGCTGTAAGACTTTTCAACCTGTTTCTCCCCACTGTCTCAATGATAGGGCTAAAAAGAGGCCCCATGAGGAGTATCTTTTATTATTTTAAATTTATGCAGGTATGAATTTATTTAGGTGTGAATTTTCTTAAGCCAGGTCTTTGTTGGATGGAGGGACAGACAGGAACCCCTACATATTGAACTTGGTCCTGGCTGCTGCTGCTTGCTCTACCTGGCAGAAGGGTTACGTATGGGCTAAGAATTATCTACTTAAAGTATTTAGTGAGTTATTTCAAATAATGAATAAATTCAAGAGAATCATTATCAGTTCACAGACTGGTCATGAATTAAGTAAAGAGAAGCCAGATCCATTGATTAGATGAATTGGTACTATTATAATGTACTCATTTAGCACAGTGGAGAGACATGTGCTATCTAGCAAATGGCATGCAGTATGCACTCAGATTCTTTTATAAATTTATTATGGTGGGAATGAAAAATGGTTAAACTACTCAGAGTACTTATTTACCATCATCCTATGGGTTTAGTCCATAATCCTCCTTTCACCCCATGCTTTTTCACCACAAAACAAACCTTTTTCCATACTACAGGACCTTGAAGGGCTGAGCGTAAGGCAGGAGAAGCAAACTAGTAATGAAGGATACAACTCTGCAACTATTGCTTACATTGGGAGTACCTTGCCAGATTCATGCTTTTATGGTAGCAGAGTCAATCCTTCACGTGTTGTTTGTAAGATAAAACAAAGGGAAATATGCCACTGCAATGCACACCCTAGAGGTATATATAGGGGCCTACCAAATTCACAGGCCATTATGCCCAATTATACAGCCATAGGATTTGAAAATTGGTAAATTTCATATTTCCAGCTTTTTAAACGTGGAATTTCACAGTGTTGTAACTATAGGGTGTCAATCCTTCACGTGTTGTTTGTAAGATAAAACAAAGGGAAATATGCCACTGCAATGCACACCCTAGAGGTATATATAGGGGCCTACCAAATTCACAGGCCATTATGCCCAATTATACAGCCATAGGATTTGAAAATTGGTAAATTTCATATTTCCAGCTTTTTAAACGTGGAATTTCACAGTGTTGTAACTATAGGGTGAGGACTTCAGGCACAATCACTATCAATATACAACCTTTCCCTTTCCTCCAAATTCCTGGCTCATGGTCCAGGGAAGGAGGGACCAGAGGTCAGTTCTGTGGGGTGAAGGTAGGAAATGGGAAGGTATCTGGAATGAGTATGTGTTAGAAAAGTTATGGGAATGGAGATTTCCCGCCTGCTTCTGTGTTGCCTTCAGCTAATCATTATACCTCTTTTTAATTTTAAAGAGGCAGGACTATCTTTAGGGAACTATTCTCTCTTGGCCTGGTGGCAATGAATTTATATTTGTACAAAGAGAGGGGTAGAGGAGTTCATTTCAACCTCTTTAACAAATATTTGGGTTTTAAAGGAATGCATGAACTCAAACATATGCTTCAATCACATGATGTGATTCAGAGCAATTAATCAATATTGGAAGTATTTACTGTACATGAGTGTGTTTGAAGAAGGTTTAAGGACAGAGTGGAGCATGGGGGAAGATCTCTGTGTTAATAGAGCTTAAATGGGTTCTTAGATGTAACCTGCACCACTGTTTCATCAACAGATTGTCCAGAAGGGAATCTCTTCATCTGATGGGATAAGAAATAACTTCCACATTCGCTCAATTCTAGGTACCTGCAGTGTACAATGAATGCTGAAGCATTCTGCAATGATGGGCCCAAATATTGCATGTTCCTGTTTGGGACCAGTAAGGGTATGTCTAGACTACATGCCTCTGTCGTCAAAGGCATGTAGATTAGGCTACCCGGCATAGGGAAATGAAGCCACGATTTAAATAATCGCGGCTTCATTTAAATTAAAATGGCTGCCACGGTATGCCGACCAGCTGATGATCAGCTATTTGTCAGCAGGTCAGGGCAGTCTAGATGTGCCACGGTCGACAAGGAAGCCTTTGTTGACCGGCGCAGATAAACCTGGTTTCATGAGGCATACCTGTGCCGGTCGACAAAGGCTTCCTTGTGGACCGCAGTGCATCTAGACTGCCCCGATCTGACGACAAACAGCTGATCATCAGCTGGTCGGCAGAGCACGGCAGCCATTTTAATTTAAATGAAGCCGCGATTATTTAAATCGTGGCTTCATTTCCCTATGCCGGGTAGCCTAATCTACATGCCTTTGACGACAGAGGCATGTAGTCTAGACATACCCTAAGATAGCCTACTTTTATTACAGCCACCCTGGAAGGATGGCCCTACTTTCCCTCAGGTTGTGAAGGGAATTTATCTGTTCTTATGGCCCTACTTTCTTTATGGACTCTTCAAATTAAGGTGTGTTTCTGAAAGGCTTTGATAAACAAGCCAAAGGTGCTTAAAACAACACCAATGTGAGAACTAGACTGCTCCCATATTTGTTTAAGAAAGAGAGACTATATAAACAGATTTTATGCTAAACATTGGAGCTAGTAGCCTCGTTTACCAAAGGGAATCACCATCCTTGCCAAAGTGGGCATAATAAATTTCTCAAGGACACAGTTTTTATCTTGCACCAAAGTGAAAAGGAGGAAGAAAAAAAAAGAGAATCTGCAATACGGTATTTATCTCTATTTACTTCATCTCTTTCTGCATCTCTGTCTATTTATTGTATCTTCTTTCTATCAATGCATATGTATCATCTTCTTCTTTATACATTTCTTACTTTTCTCTTAATCACTGAAGAGGGGGATGGGAGGGGGAGAAGGTGTGCAAGACAAGGGACCTGATTTTAATCTCTACTACACTTGTGCAAATCCAGAGTAACCCCACTGGATTAATGGAATTACTCTGAGATTTGCCCCAATGTAATGAAGATCAGCATCTAGCTAAGCCACACTAGAGTTGAGTTTGGCCCCTGTCTGTCAGAGTTAGCCATGTGATTCACATTAATGCTAATTAGAGTCCATGAGAGAACCTCATTCATCCTTTCCCTGGGTTGGTTCCTCTTTCTTTCTTCAGTATCCGATTACTCCATTTTACCCCTCACTTGCCATTATTATTTTAGCACTTCAGGTATTTTCCTTCTATTCTGTCCATCATTAGCTCATAGTGTTATGGAGACTGGAATATAAAAGTGTCATCTAGGTATCCCCAACATTGTCTGCACACAACTTCTTGCTGAGTACCTCTGAAGAGTTCTATTGCTGTTCATTCATTCACTCCTGTCTACCTGCTTTAGCACTAGAGATACAGACTTTTAAAGCAAGATTAAAAGATTAGATGTGCCAAATTTCAAAATAAGCTATTTTTAAATAGAATTGAAATAAGATCCGCGATTTGCTTGGCGCAAATTGCATATCTTATTTCGAGTTTAGGGTTCTGTGTTGACACATCCTTAGTGTGATGTAAAGATACCATTTCTCCCTTCTGTTACACTGACAGATGGAGTTATCCTGCAAAGCTCTTCCATCTCTTACTTGACCAGCAGTGAGGTACCTAGATGAGCAACTTTTATCTGATATTTGCACATTACAGGCAACAGTGTCACAAGGCCTCCTAGCGATTACTGGTTCTCCCAGGCATGGAAGGTGAGTAAAATGCATCTAGAGTGTCTGTCTGAAGCAGCAAAAAAATAAACTTAGCCTCCCCGGCATTTGTTCCTTATTGTTAGCAGCACAGAATTATTTTAAAGCAGAAAATCTGAAGATTTGGGGGTTTTTAACACAGAATGAATCTGGTGTATTTTTTAATGTTTCTGAAATGCAGTGACTCTGAGCAAAGGCTGGGGCCAGGCCCGGAGTGACGTGCCCATGTGCAAGCCTTCTACATGCAAACAGCTGCAAAAGGTCCTCCGTAATTCCCAGTGATCCATGTCTTGTCCTCATCCCAGAAATACAGCGCTTCCTAGTGTAATGAATGGGACAGGGAGAAAATGAGAATGAGCTGCTTTAACATTGACACAGATAGGAGATGCTGAGTGAGTGTGAATGTGTGTGTGCGTGTGCACAGGTGTGTGTATGTTCAGGTTGCCCATGAAGACAAATAGATGTTTGCCAGTTGAGCAGAACATGGAAGTCCACGGTGCTACTGACTTGCCCTTGCTGTGGAGGTGGTAGGGACCCGTCCCACCCAAGAAATACTCTGGGAGAGAACTCTCATGAAACACAACCACTGCACTGTGCCTGTTCTGTCCCTGCAACACACTCCCCTCTCTGCACCTGGCCTTCGCTGCTGATTGCAATGTGGAGTTGAGGAAAGGGTGCAGCACCATAATTCACTCCCACTCTCTATGATTTGGCATGCCTTGAGTCCCCAGGTATTAAAAGAGACTGGGATTGTGCAGGTCTTCAGTCAGGAAGCTACATGGGGAGATGAAAATATTCATTGTGCCCTCCTCCCCCTATTGCTGCTTGGCTAGTGCCAGGCAGATCTAGCTCTAGAAGGGAAAGTGGAGCTTCTTCCACCAGATGAAACTTGAATGGGTACATGCAGATTCTAAGGAGGTAGAGGAAATGACAAGCTGCACCACAGGTGTGAGAGAAAACAATATTTGGAAGTTAACTTCAACTGTGCCAATGTTTACTCAGAAGGCTGTCAGAAATAAATTTCTGCATTAAAGTTTAAAGAGATGCTAGATAATTTCATGGAGGTTAGGTCCATAAAAGGCTATTAGCCAGGGGATAAAATGGTGTCCCTGGCCTCTGTCTGTCAGAGGCTGGAGAAGGATGGTAGGAGACAAATCGCATGATCATTGTCTTCGGTCCACCCTCTCTGGGGCACCTGGTGCTGACCACTGTCAGCAGACAGGCTACTGGGCTAGATGGACCTTTGGTCTGACCCAGTACAGCCGTTCTTATGTTCTTATGTAACTTCACAAAATTAATCTGAGTTCTGACCTGACAGCCCTGTATTGTTCTGTATTGTCCCCTCTCTCTCCGAAACCTCTGTTGATACTCTTCAACCCCCTACCTGCAATTCCCATTACTTGTTTTGTCCTGGGCCCTTCCTGAAAAACTTTCCAACTGCATGTGCTCCTGATCTGTAGCACCAACTGCTGTTTTAGTCTGGGGAACCAACAACTACCTGACAGAGCCTTTCAGTTCTGACCTGCTACATTCTCTCCTAGAGGGCACAGCCAAAAAAGAATCAGCAAGGTGAGAAGTGTTCACGGGACCCTGCAATGAGAGCAGCAAACTAATATTGTTTATGACCTCATCAGAACTTGACTCCTAAGCTGCGTGCACTTCACATGTTCAATTTTTTAGAAAAGTCAAAGAAAGAATTGTCCCACTGTATATGTAGCACAGCATTTTCTCTTAATTATGATCTACAAATCATTCTTGTTTCACTTTCCATAGGAACCCTTTTAACTCAGTTCATCTAGATTTAAAGAGACATTCAAGGTGAGGGAGATGGACTTTTGTTCTTTCATATCTCTCTTTGAAAGTCAGTTTGTATTTCTTTTAGGTGATGAAAACCCAGATGCCAAACGTCGTGATGTTCGGTTCTTGGACAGCATGTTCACGGGCAGTAGGCCTTCAGCTGATAACAGTCAAGTCCCAGCTCAATCTGACTTCTCATTAGCAGAGTCAGAATTGTTCTGTCAAGGTCCCTGCCAGGAAGGATGGTTCAGTTACATGGGCCAGTGTTACAAGTTTGTCCAGGAGCAAAAAACATGGGCTGAGGCTGAGGTACCAG